AAATATTTCCCATCACAAACCTAACGTACACTTTGTGTTCAAGAAATTTACACATTCTCTTGTAATTTTGAGACTGTCGTAATTTTATTAATTACTAGTCAAAGATTGACCCACTGTATACTTCTTAAACGTCATGTAGCTAGGCAGTAGTCCCTTTAGTGATCTAAACGCTCTTATATTTCTTTAGGAGGGAGTCCTTGCTATCTAGACACGACCCCATTAAACTCGATCAAGCTATATATAGTGCAGTTCCACCCTGGTCCATTTTCCTGCTTGTTTGATCTACACTCACTTCAGGAGAGTACTTCCATCGACAGTCTAGCTACCTCGCTTCCACACCAATTTGCTTGATCACCGATGCAAAATTTCCACAGATCGTACAGTTCCACCGACATGATTGGCAAAAAATATAGTACAAGTAAATTAACCACTTGCGCAGTTGCATCGTTTACTTAAGCGCTATAAAGTACACGTCCACCCCTTCACACTGAGCACTCACTTCCTTGGGCATCGGATTAGCCAGGGCTGCGCGGGTGTCCAGGCTCTCCGATGCTCAAGGGAGTGGAGGGGGTGGGGGTGGTGGAATTGTGGACAGCAGTGGCTCAGGATCCGGGAGCGGCACTGCGTCCAGCCGGGTCGTCCCAAACGAAGGCCATGCGAGTGCCGGAGCTACCCATGCAGTCGCCGGAGCTGGAGGCAGCGGCGGTGGCGCGAGCCAGTACCGTGGATCCGGAAGCGGAGCCGGGTATGGCTCCAGCGTCGCTTCTAGCGAGTCAGCCGGAGGAGTATTTGTTGCTTTCCCTGGATATTCTAGCGCTGATGGTACCGGCGGCGGTGGTGGCGGAGGACAAGCCGGAGGTTACGATGGATCTAGCGGTCATGGAGAGGGCAGTGGCACCGGCTCCGGTTCTAGCTCCGCCAAGTCTACCTATTATGGAGCAGAGGATGCAAATGCAAGTGTTAAGGGTAGTGGAGGTGGCAAAGGAGGCGGGGAGAATGGTGGGAGCGGCCATGGCGGCGGGAGCGGATCCGGAAATGCCGAAGCAAACCCTTAAGTTGCCTTTCCGATATGGATGAGTGTTTCAAGTTGTCGCAATCATTTATGTTTTGCTTTTTATCTCTCCCGCTAACAAGGAGAATATGTTTTCTTTCATGTACACTTGTCTTATGATAGTAGAAATGAATAAAAATGTTGCCTTTGTTTTACTCCATCCATTCCATAATGTAGTGCTTCCTCTATCCACGTGCTTCAACTTTGACCGTAAATTTAACTACCAAGACCGATTGCGGCGGGAGCAAAAATTATATCAGTAAATTCGTATTCGAATGAAGTTTTCAGTTATATAATTTTTTCTCCGGCCGCAGTTGGTCTCGTTGGTTAAATTTATGGTCAAAGTTGGACCTCGGGAAGCGCGGGCGCACTATATTTTGGAACGGAGGGAGTAACTATGAATCTGGACATGCAATCTGAAAACGGACAAGAAAGACAATGTTAATCTAATGTTTCATATAAATTACCAATAGGTGATGACTTCCAATGAACTGTTTCCAAAAAAGTAAAAAAATACTCTCTATCGTAAGTGAAAACATGGTTCCATTCGTATGTGACAAGTGATGAGCGTCACCTTTCTCACGAACTACTCCAGCCTTTCCACCCTTCACCCTTGTTCTCTCCATCAACATCTTTTGTGGCCTTTTTCGATAATGCGTCAAGATAATATGAAAGGCACGCCCAGTTTCTGTATCCACACAATGCCAATACCATATGAAGACATTGAATATTTTTTTAAATGTACAAAATGATGGCAAAGTATTATCATGGAATAGTGAACACTGACACCTAGTGACAAACTTTAACTTCAAAACCCACCTTTCATAACCTAGAAAGTGCATATTGCAACCCCGAACTCAAGGCTGTAGTTGTTGTAAAAGAATCAAAGAATTTCTACCGTGTTTTGAAATCTGTTTGTCAAAAAGTGTGAAATTTCCCCATATAGGTCAGCATGTAGTGTTGATTTTACATATTTATTTTATTTTTTCTGAACACTTTGAATTTTTGGTCAAAAATTGACAAAATGGGCTGAAATTGTATTTCTATTGTGTATCCAAATATGTTTGTCAATAAAGTGTGAAATTTTCCCAGATTGTTCAGCATGGTAGTATTGTTCAAATTTTTCTGGGACTTTGATTTTTTGATCAAAATTTGACAAAAAGGTCTAAAATTGAATTTCTATTGTATTATTAAATATGTTTGTTACGAAATGTGAAAGTTTTGATTTGCATAATTTTTTCAACTTTTCATGTACACTTTGAATTTTTTGTAAAATTTTGACAAAAAGTGAGTGCTGACGTGGTTGCTGCATCCCAATCTATTCGATCAAATATTTGCCACGTATGCCAAAACCACCTTTAGGCCAAGTGAGAGGGGTAATTTGAATGGATTTGATTTGAGAGTTGAGTGTTGTGCTCTAACCGGCATTGGAGTTCAGGGTTGTAATTTAAACTAGAGCGAGTTCGGGATTGAAATATATACTTCACTCTTTGTAACCCTGACTCCTTGCAAAAAGGGATAACCCCAAACATCGAACCGCATGCACCATCGGCGTCATATCCAACCACTGAATGCCATATATCAGAGAATCTCACCACGTTGAACATGTTCAACAAAACTTCAAACAATGCCTTCAACTAAAAATTGACACGTGCATGCCTTTATTTGAAATGAATCAAACATGGGGTCTTCACCCCCAAGGTTCTCGAACTTGTCCTTGAAGATCATCACTAACCAGAAGTCATGTCTGTGTTGTCACCCCTGTCGACACTGTCATACTTCTCAGACTCAACCAATTGTAGCAAGACTCGAAACATCGGAGATGCCCTAACATATATCTGGTGGGCGACTGGTACAAGTGCTAGACAATACGGGTGTGTTTGGTAGCATTCGCAACCTAGCATGGTTGTTCTCCTCTCATACATGTTGAGTGTTGACATGCCAAGTACATGCATTTGATGTTCTTTAGTAGCGGTGTATGTGCTCAGACATGCTCAAGAGACTTAATTTGACAGCTTGCATCTGTTTAGACATGCTGAACAATTTCTAATTCTGAATAATTTTTGAATGGTGACCAAAATTTGGAAAATGTGAACACTTTTTTGAAAATTTAAACAAAACTTGGAATTTTGAAAATTTCTGAAAATTTAAACAAAATTTGAATATTTAACCAAAATTTGAAAGTATGAACATATTTGAAATTCAGAACATTTTTTGAAAATTTAAATAAATTTAGGAAAATTGAAAATGTTTGTGAAAATCTATTTTTTTGAATTTATGAACATTTCTTCAAAAGTAAAACAAAAGTTGAAAATTTAAATTTTTTTTGAAACTCTGAACATTTAAAAAAAATTAAAACAATTTTTTAAAATTTTAACAAAATATGAAAATAAAATAAAATCCAAACATCTTTTTTTGTAAATTTATACATTTTAGGATTTTTGAACATTTAAACATTTTTTGAATTTCTGAACATTTTTTGAAATACGTTGTTGCTCTCTTCGCTCGTGCATGCTGACTAGCAAACGAGGGTGTTTTCTCTACGTGCATGTTACAAGGGTATTTGGGCTAAGCTCATGCATGCTAACTAGCGAATGACTGCGGGGGTGTTCTCTTTTCGTGCATGTTACGGGGGTATTTGAGATGAGCTCATGCATGCTGAGGAAACCCCGTGCAAACTACCAAAGTGGGTTGAGTAGGGAATTTTTACCCTCATGCATCATCCATACACCCTATCAAACACATCCTAAGTGTTGACTAGGAACGTAAGCAATTCAAGAAACCTTACAAAAAATGGATATGTGACAACAAGAAAGGCTTGAAACATGCATGACACAGACACATATCTGCACGAAGTGATGTACCTGAATGCACTCATGCTCTCTGGAGAGATGATCCGACACACACCATGGATAATGGACATATGGACAATACGAAGTCCAAAAGGCCATGGTGTTCAAGTAAAATACTTTCCCATGTTTCCTCCCGCACGCGTCATACAAAGTGCCTATACTCGAAGCAAAGACTAGGAAATTAACTGCCAGGTGGAGTTATGAACACAAAGAGTCACAAGGCGCTAGTAGGAAGAAAATAGTTTATTTTTGCAAAGAAAAACTCTTGGGAACTCTCTTGCCCAAGATTATGAAAAAAGATGAAAAACTTACACCAACATCTGTATTGCTTACTTGGATTGGAGGTATGATTTTTCTGAACTTATTTTTGCGCATGTGTGGTTCTGAATATTTGTTGAGAAAGTTCAGTATTGAAGTAAATACCCAAGCTTTCTTCTTTACATTTTTTGAGGCGTTACTTTGTTCTTTTACATTTTTTGAGCAAATGTTCTTTTACATGGAAATCCCTAAACTTTACCAGGAAGGGCCTGCCATATTCTAAGCAGGCTCTAATCTTTTTTTTTCTAGTACAAACAGGCTCTAATCGAACCGGGCCGCACGTACCTTGGGTCCAAGTCCGTTGCCCACCAGCCTTCCTCTCGCTCGTCGCCTTCGTCTTGCCCCCCCCACCCCACCGCCGCCGTCTCCATTTCCCCACCGTCCTCCCTCCTCTCTCCCGGCCGCTCGCTGCTCCCATACCGCCTCCTCCGCTGCCGGGGCAGACTGGACTGGAGATCTGCACTTGATTCGCCTGTCTCGCCGGTAAGCACGCTCCGCGAACGCTTGATTCCAAAGCATTTTGCTCGTCGCGTTCCTTTTCCCCGCTCCCGCCAAGCAGAAATCGATGGACTGTGTTAGGGTTTCGACATTAGGGGGGGAATTATACAGGAGGCGTTGATGTAGTGTCAGGAACTTGCCGGTCGGGGGAATGGATCACCCCGCCTGTGCAAAGATGAAATTTTTGGGGGAACAATTGCTTGACCCAATCCCCCTACTTGTTAGGGCCTGTTTCCGCCAAGCTCCTGCAGCCGCATACCACCGTCTTGCCGCAGGACAGGATGGCCTCCGTCTCCCAGGACGAGCTTGCTCTCCTCTCTGGCAGGGAGCTCGTGGCCCACCTCGCCAACTCCTGCCACAGGGCCGACTTTGAGGCGGTCGCGCGCGTCCTTGATGCGCGGGACCGCAAGCTCGCCAAGGACAAGGCTGCGCTAAAGGCCGTGCTCGCTGACCTAGACGCTGCGAGAGCGCAGGAGCGCGAGGTCGCTGAGGCCAAGTCCAAGTTGGAGGCCACCATACTGCGGAAGAAGTACAAGGCGGCCTTGGACTCGCGCCGCCGACCGCTGGACAGTGCCAAGGAGGTGGCGCACCTGCTTGGGGGCTCGGTACGTCGGGATGAGTCGCGTGTCGAGGAGGCGAATGAGGGGGAGGTGGAGGACCTCGACGATACTGACCTCTACGTGCCTGACTGCGTGTGGGAGAGTGGCGGCGGTGGGATGGAATGCGACGGAGTAAGGAGAGGCACAATGGCGGCGAGGCGGAATGCGGCCGTGGCAGGGGAGGCGCGAAGGCGGGCGGCTGTCGCCGTGTTGGAGGAGATGGGCCCTGCTCAGCTCGGGCGGGGTGAGGGGTGAGTCATGTTTCTGCTCTAAGTTGCCCAGTTTGATGAATTGCCATAAGGGCAAGGTGACATTTTCACTTTTGTGACTAGTTAGTCATTGTACTTAAAAACTGCTTAAGCGTGCAAATGTGGTTTTAGCCAAGTGGTAAGTGCTACTCCCTCTGTTCACAAGTATAAGATGTTCGAACTTTTTTCCGAATTGGATGTATATAACATGTTTTAGTATGTTTATTCGTTCATTTCAGTCTGTTTCTAGTCGATACTGCAATATCCAAGATATCTTATATTTCTGAACGGAGGTTGTATACTTTACTAAAACAATGTACAAGGATATGATCAAGTGCCAAAGTAGAAAGTGATACACGATCAAATTCCCCTATCAAATACTGTTGTCCACAGAATAATTACTACAATGAACAGTCATTTTGCTTCTTTTAGATCGAACAGGAAGACAGCAACGGGTTTGGAGAACCTCAAGAAGAGCAGAGAGATGTCGCTAGGCTATGCAGAGAAGCTGTCTTACCGAGAGGATGTGGGCACTGTGGGCATGCCTGAGAAGTTCGACTCCCCCAAACTCCTCCAAGGGAAGGTTGATCATTTTGCCTACTTCCAAACCCTTTTTTCATTTTGTTTGCTCAGGCTGTAAGTGACCTCTTGTTTATGGCTTTATGCTTCCCTTTTGTTAGGCTAATTATTTCTTGCCTTTTTTTGGGTGTGATTAGTTATGATTGGCTAAGAATAAAGAGAGAAATATTTTTTACCGCAGCGTTCTTTTTTGTGGTTTGTGCAATCAAGACCCATGTGTGCCACTGCTATAAATTAATAGTGTTGGAGAAGTTGTGGTTAGTAAGTTCTATAAAAGATTATCAAATTTGAAAACAATTATTTCATGAAAGAACCAGTGTTTTGGGGAACTGAGTAGCTACTGCATTGCAAAATTATATCGCATTACCATTATATTGGTTTTATAGTTGAATAAATGAAGGAAATAGATATTGAGGCTGTGTGAAACTTGTCGGGCCTACAATTTCGTTGGTTGCGGGGTTTCTAACCTCGTGTGATAATTTCAGGCAGAACATGCCCCCTGCACACCTTTCAGTATGGTCTGTAGTGCATAATACTATTCCTTCATGCTGAGGAATTGTTTGTAGTCTAATCTAGGAGTCTAGTTACTAGGTACTGAAGGGCATAAAGTGTTTAGAGAACAGGGAAAGCTAACTTCAGATCTCATTGTTATTTTTACAAGGGCGTTTTCTGATGTTGAGGAGAAACCCCCAGATTGAAACCATTATTGTCAACAATTGTGGCAAATGTATTTTTTTGGTGGTGGGTGGGTGGTGATTTTGTCCTATTCACTTGTAAAATTCCGTGTTATGACATGTAGTTATTATCTTACTACTTAACATTCTTTTCTGAAGAAAACATTTGTTTAAATGTTCATTTTGCTGGATTATGGTGCAGATAGAAGAGCTTGCAGTTATGGTGCAAAAGGTTGGGTTGCCATCAATGGATGCCAATTAAATTTCTAGTCGTGTTTTATATGTAGCATTATCAGTGAACTAGCCCTTATTGTTTCAGAGTAAGCATCTAGTGGTGTTTACCGGAGCAGGAATATCAACTTCATCAGGCATACCTGATTTCCGAGGCCCAAAGGGTGTGTGGACTCTGCAGGTAGGCTCTGTTGCTTCTTATTATTATGGTTCCCTTCCATGCTTGAATCTATTTCTCTTTAGATTATATTTCGATGCTTGACTGCAAACGTGATATATTTATTTGACTTGAGTGCAGTCTATTTCATGTTTTAATGCATGATTTGTAGATCAGTTAGTTTCCTTATTGTTATCCAACTTAGGTACCCCCAAAAGCTTTATGTAGTTATGCAGTTTTACCATGTTAGCGAACCATACTTATTCATGTAGTAGTTATTATCATAAGCCAGGTGCTAGATTTCATGATAAACCATTGTTTGAATAAATAATCAGTTGTATATATGTCACATTTGTTTTGTAGCGTGCAGGAAAAGGTGTTCCTGATGCTTCACTCCCATTTCACCGAGCTGCTCCAACCTTGACTCATATGGCATTAGTTGAATTGGAAAGAGCAGGTCTCCTAAAGTTTGTCATAAGCCAGGTGCATAATTCAACTGAATGTACTGTATATGGGCTTTTTATTGGTGTCTGTCTCCACTACCAATGACTTGCTATTATAAGGTTAATTCTTAAGGATTTATTTGCTCCGAGTCACTTGTACAAGTTTAACTTTAGGGAACTTTGCTCCAGTTAACTATTATAAGGTCAACTCTTAGGAAACGTTTGCTCTGTTGCAAAATTAGTTATATGAGCTGCAGATATTTATTAGTACTAAAAGTAGACTTATAATATACCAGTTTGAATATTTTAGCTCATGTTTTGTGTTTCACAGATTTTGCTGCTAAGTATGTCCTCTGTTACAATATTCTTTTTGTCGTAAACAAATTGCTTCATTTACCGCAATCGTATTTATGCTATCCATGTAATTTGAGCTTGTGGAGGTTGTGTTTGCCAGAATGTTGACAGCCTACATTTGCGTTCTGGCTTCCCAAGGGAGAAGCTGGCTGAATTGCATGGAAATTCTTTCAAGGAGGTCTGCCCATGCTGTAAAATGGAGTACGCTTTATCTTACCCTACTTTTTTATACTTTCTTAGGGGAACACCACAAATAGTTCCTTTTTCTTCTGTTGGTTTATTCAGATAGCTCTTCCTGAATCCCTCCTCTGTATGAAGGTACCTTCGTGATTTTGAAATAGAGACAATAGGACTGAAGGATACTCCAAGGCGTTGTACAGACAAGAACTGTGGAGCTAGATTAAAAGATACAGTTCTTGATTGGGAGGTACACACTAAGAGCTACAATGTTTTTTTCATCTCGGCGTGTTTTATCAAGAAAATGCTTATTTGTGAACGAAAAATTCTGTTAGACAATACATGATATTACTATTTTAGTGTTGCACTTGCTTAATCTCTGCTACAAGATTTGTGTGTCTCTATTCTAATATGGTTATAATTGCCTCAGTGCCCACAAATATCCCATTTTGAAATCAATCACTAAAGAAAGTATTACCTCAAAATTACCTTCGAGATTCACAACTAGGATGATACTTGGTGAATTTACTTGATTATTATAATATGTTGCTAGAAATATTTGTTTAGGTGTTGTGTTCTCAAAATAAAATGTTTAATAGTGGAAAGGTACTTATGTCATGCTCTCCAGGCAAAATGTTTTAACAATGAAAAGAGAGAGACATGAACTGTTGTGCATCTTCTTTGAAGTTGTCTCAGTTCATTAATAATTCCACTGATTTCCAGGATGCGTTACCCCCTGAGGAGATGAATTCTGCCGAGGAGCAGTGTCGAACAGCTGATCTTGTCCTATGTCTAGGAACTAGGTTTGTCATGCTACCCTCACACAATAGATGCAGTTTTCTCTTCAGTTTCCTTCTTCATTATGGTTACAAACACTGTCACTTGCCAACAAATGTTACTAGTTTAATGATAAATCCTCCTAACTCTTTGCCACATTATTATATATACCATGGAGGCAAATAACGAGGGGTGCATACTTACTGTAGTTAGTACTTCTCTTTTTTTAGTTTGGGAAACTCTCCAGGTGCCATTTGCTTCAAACTGTTTGCAATACACCAACAAACAGTTTTTAGTAAGCATGATTCTCATGTTTAATATGGGAAAAATCAATTGCTCGATTAATAGCTGTACAAAAGTCTGTAGATGCTTCAAAATTTAAATGCACCATTAGTTATATGCATGTATGATTAAACATGCCAGAAACTGCAAGTTTAGTACTATGTCATAGTGTTAGAACTTACGATCCCTGTTTCTTTGCCGAAGTGCTTGGAACAGTGGTTTTGTGTAGATCATCCTTTCGTGGAAATCTGGCGCTAGGATTGATCCTGAGGATGGTGCAAGACTATTGGCTTTAGCAAACGATCACATGTACAACACGCACCATCCTTCACCTAAGTTGCAAAGATGATCCAGTCATTTGGCACGGCTAAATAAGCACCCCCAACCACCATCACCAAAGTGTCTGGAGCCGAGAAAGATGGGAAGTGAGAAAAACAGTAATTCAGTGGGCATGGTTGTAGCCTGTCCCAACTGTGTCAAAAATGCTTGTCAGCGATACATGTTTTTTTCTCTCTTGAGAAAGCGCAAAAAGCTTTGTGTCTTGATGCATAGATAGGTAAGGAAAGTTATTTACAAGACCAAGATGGGCAACAACCAGAATGAAATACACAAACCTTTCAAGAATGGAAAGCTTTTAATCAGGCCGTTGTATGTTGAAGCTGCAACAAAAAGACATCCTAGATTTAGATATAATGGTCAGTGACCTAAGCTGCTGCATGAGATCAACCGATACCAGTCTGTGCATCCCTAGTTCTACTTCAACGAGCGATCTAGTCCTTGCTCCTTTAAAGAATGGAGCTTTGATCTGGATGAAACGATTGTATGACTAATATTTTCCAGTCACTTTTGATGCATCAAAAGATAGATGCATGGTTGAGTCTCAACATTCTTCATGCACTGCCATGTTGCAGTGCAGTGCATATTTAGCATATATAGTAGTCAAGAATTTGAGATCCTCTATCTCCCCCCTTTCTGTGCATGGACTGTGCTACTGCTATTGCTATATACTTGGTTGTTTTTGCCTATGATCCAGTGAGAGGCATTGTGTCCTATCTCCCTCTCATTTGATCAGTCTGACCATTGTTGCTTTCTGTTTGTTCATTGTTAATTCGCAGGTAGCAGGTTGAACATATTTTATGATAATAACGAACCATGATTCTGTTCTTATTTCTTTTCTGATATCCAGTAATGTGCAGCTTGCAGATTACTCCTGCATGTAATATGCCTCTGTTGTCAATCAAGAATGGGGGAAAGGTTGCTATTGTTAATCTTCAGGTGCACACAACTAAATACAAGCATATTGTTGTTTTTCTTTTAAGTATGGACCAAAGAGAAGCACTAACTTGCATGCTTATCTCTGTTTTATATGCATATTGTACTTATGATATAGGCAAATTTTGTTGCAAATCAGTCAAAAATATTAATGCTACGTCTGCACTTTTTGAAGTTGGGAATTTTTTAAGTAGCACCAAACTATGTTTCAACTCTTATATGCCACCATATACTGTTTACCTCTGAATGACTGAGACGCCGTCAGACCATTTTTAGAAATTTTAAGTGTTGTTTATTTGGCTGTTTCATTAGGCCTTACTAAACTTTGTGATTTAAGTCACTCAAATATAAAATCTGAACAATTCAAAAATTGAGGTTTTGAATTCAAGTTTGACTCTGGAACTTATTTTTGAGACATGGCATTTAGAACTTGGATTCCTGATTCAGTTCAAAGGTGTGAATTGAAGGAGATGATTTTCCATGTTTATGATCTCCTAGGAACTGGTTTTGCAGCCTTAACAGGTGCAATATGCCGATTAAATATTTAAATTTGAACAAAGGATATTTACCTCATTTAAAGTTTAATAAATAATGCTCTAGAATGGAATATAATGATTGAAACACTGTTTGCTTAAGCATTTAAAGAACACCAGCGCAATATGGGATAGTAAATCCAAAATACTGCAACTTTCTAATGGCATTTGATAAACCCACAATAAGTAGCATTCTGATTGCTTTACAAAATCTTCTCTTTCAGGCAACTCCGAAAGATAAAAAGGCAAGCCTTGTCATCCATGGGCTTGTGGATAAGGTGGCTGTTTCTGTTCAGTTTCCTTTGTTGCTATTATATGTCTCCTTGCTATTGTAATTTAACCACGTCAACACAGGTCATTGCTGGAGTGATGTGCATTCTGAGTTTGCGCATTCCTCCATATATACGTACTGACTTCATTCAACTTCTTCTTCGGCACACAGTGAAAAGTAGGGTTGTCTCACCATTTCTTAAATCTTCATCCTTACCTAGCTCTGTCAAATTCTAGTAGATACATAAACCAGTCAAGGTTAGTGACAAAACTGAATGTTGGCATCATCAAAACTGCCTCATTAACAAGATTTTGAGCAGCTGAAGATGATAAAATTCTTTGCAAACCTTATGGTCACCATATAAACAGTGAAACTACGAAGTGTGGTATATAAATTTCTGTATGGTGTCCTTCACAAATTGGAAATGAATTTTGATTTCTCATTAAGTTCCTTGTGTGCAACTATCATTGGACAGCTAAATGCTTTAACTGGCTTTGTATGAAAATGGGTTTAAGCACCCGCCTCTCATACTGCATTATCTCTTTCTTCTATTCAGAGAAATGTGTAAGATGGACTCTGCGAGTAACTAGCGTTCATGGCATGCGAGCACCATTGTCATTTCTTCGGTCAATCGAGGTTATTCAAAATAATATGTCCACACTGTTGTGTACTAGTATGCTTATTTTATGCCATTAAATGCTCCTGTAAGGACTAAGGAGATAATATTAGTATTACATCAACAGGTTGATGAAAATCTAGTTTTCATACTTCTGTTACTGATATATGCTAAAAAAAAAATCTTATTCATCAACAGGTTTCCTTTCCAGACAGATCTGACATGAAGCCTGTAGTGCTTATGGAGCAACCGTTTTCTTTGCAGAGGTATATTGGAGATTGCAAAGTCCCCCGGCCAATATGTGCCAACTGATCACGCAGAGAAAGAAATGTTTCAATTTTCAAATATTATGTGCTATGTTTCACATCAGGAAATTGCCTACTTCTGTAGGGAAACATCAATGACTAGCATATTTTCCATGTTGCTGACATTGAACTTCAGTGATGGTTGTGGCTGCTCAAGCTCGTCAATTGAATGCCATGTTAATTTCCAGGTTAGCAGTTGCTATAAACCTTTATCTTCTAACTTTGCTGCCCAAAGTTGATTGTGTAGTTTAAAACTTTAGCAACGAACTAGGAGCAGGAGGTGTTAGGCAGTTAATGTGATAGTGCCTTTGTTTTTTGCGTGTTCTGAACTTCTGATGCAACATGGGTTATCAAAACCCTGCCGTCCTTATGGACAGCCATCCTATCCCTCACTTACTTGTGGACATGTGTTTAGGGAAACAGGGAAATTGAAAACTCTTATTTCTCCAATCTCCATATTAGCATCAATATTCCATGCAATCCACAAGAGTTTGCCCCCATTCCTTTTGTACTGCATCTTGCTCAGATCCGGAGGATCAGTAACTGGCGGAAACCAGCTGGTGCTATTGTAAAGAGGTGTAATTTAAGAAATACCATCGCAATTGTACATGACTGATCATAGCTACTCCAGAGAGCTAAATTTGTCGAAATACCCTCTTCGTCCATTTTCTTTGGTGTGTGAAATGATCAAATGAACCTATTTTTCTCGATACTTGGTACCTCTCTGCATATTATTAATTTTTAGAGTGGTTATTTTGCATAATGCCCTGTGAACTTGTGAGTGGATCTACCATTTTGCTTACCATAAAATTCCAATGGCATCCGTGCAGAAGCAAAAGGAGAGTTTTGTTAGGGATAGAAGCCTAGTCCTGCAGGAGTTGAAGTGCACTGCAGAGCGCCAGTCTCGTGCCGGGCAGCAATCGATTCTTGAAAGGGAGAGTCTGCCAAGAGCCGAGACATCTATATACGCGTTTGTGACCAACATTATCAGGTACGACGCTGCAGATCTCAAGGTGGCTGATCCTAAGGGTAGTTGGATGAACAGCGGCAGCAGTACCAGCAGCAACCTTGCAAAACGGCTCGTGGAAGGTGCTAGTGGCTACTCCGCCTCGACAAAGAAGCTAAAGTGCTAGGACCGGCTGCGTCAAGTTTTCTGATACTTTTGTTTGGAGTAGTTATATGACTTGGTACATGTGTGAGAAGTTTACAATAGCAAGAGTGGTGCAGAGAGTTAGATGAATGGGCGAAGGGAAGGTGGAACATCTTTTCGTTGATAGCGATGCGACCAAAAATGTAAACTGGTTGAGTCTTGGTTGAATCTTTTTCTTGTCTTTTCCTGTAAAGGAAGTCGAGAAACTTGTGAAATGCTGATATCATTGATATCCAAGTGGAACTGGAGGTCAGGTTAATGGTACCGGATGAAAACAGAATTTTCAGAACAGTCCCAGTGAGCATACATCACTTGATCATTTGGCATTAACTAGTCAGCACTGCTGCATCCTCTGCAGTGCTTGGTGGAATTCTTGTGGGTTTATCCCCTATAGGCCCAACTTGTCATGGCGCTGTAGTTCTGTGTTTTTAGTTCCATATTGCCTTTTATACAAGCCTGTTGTGGTTTCTTGAACTTCGGTGTCGTAGTTTCGCTGACCGAGAAAGATTCAGTCAACTTGAAGATTGCTTTGACAACGAGCTGGATTGGTAAGGAATGGTTATCATCTCCCGTGAAGCAAAGTAGTTGATGCTTACTCGATTGTGTTGTTCTAATCCCGAGATCAAACAATGCAAACTTCACGCACGTTGTAACTGTCAACTTCTCGTTGGAGAGTAGCCATGTCGCTCCTCCATTCAAAGCTAAGTTGAGCTTTCGACGAAGCTTTGCCACCTTACATCATTCGCATGGCCCTGAGGACTTTTGCTCCAGCCATAAGAAAACTTGCAAATTCTTCTTCCCTAGTGTCATAAACTTATAACGATACCCTTGAAGTTCCACATATTTGAGATGCTTATTTAGGCAGATAATAGTATCAACTTCTGGTTGCCACCGTCCAAACGCATGGTTATCCTTCCAAGCTCCAGCCATACGTGAGGCACGGTGATCCAGCTCGTATTTCGTCCTGAAAATTTACACACTTGTATCCTTTCAAAAAAAAAAAAATTAAACGTTTTGATCATTTCAAATTCGACCACCATGGAGGCTGACTTATTTTCCCTATACCAACCTAAGCTGTTTGCTTGTTCGAGTATGACTTATTTTCTGTAGTTTGTGAGTACTGCTAGCAAGACCGCGGAGTGGTGTGGTGCATACACACACAAGTGGTTAAGATTAGTGAATATGGGAAAAGAGAAAGAAATATGTAGAGCTAGCTGCTTTCGACGTGGCCGTACTCAGATACAAGCTGCCGGCATCTATGAGGACGGGGAGCAAGAATACCTGGTGATCATGCATCGAGATGACCGAGTTAATCCAAGCACGAAAGGGGAAAGCAAAGCCCGACGATGGATATTATTATTGATTGCCTGTCATAGATATCTTTACAAAACAAAGGCTTATCTTTTGCCAATCATGGTGCTATCTATGGTGGTGTGATAGCATTACTACATAGAATTAACATTCAGAGTGTTAGTGTTACGGGCTCCCCAACTCAGCATCCCGCTCTTCTTTGTTGAACTTCAGAAAAATCAGATTTCAAGAATTCCATCAAAATGGCAACGACGGTGGTGATCTCGCCGCCACTGCTCAGCTGTCTGGCATGAGAATCTGGCCTGCACCGGTGTCCTGTGTAGCAGAGCATCTCCACCCACACTTGGCTGATCAGATCAAGCATGGCATCAGGTGTTTCCAGCCCTTTGCTAATCAGCTTCGAGCCAAGCTGACATGCTCTGTCAAATGTTACACTACTCTCTTTGGTTGTAGCAGCAGGCATATCGACTACTAGATTTTCCACCACAACGGCAGGCTGAGTTTGTTCAGCATTGAGAGCATCTCCATGCCCCTGCATTAACTTGATCAAATCCACGGCCGAGTTGTATTGGAGATGATAGATCACCTTGTTGCACAGTTCAATATACCTTTGGCGACTAGCATTGTCAGGCAGCATGTAGGGACGTGCTGCGAGCAGAAACATCATGTAATTGGAGAGCTCCTGGGTTACCTTTGCAGGATGTGGCAGGCGTTTATGTTCCGCCTCGTACCAGCTGAGGTAGACATCAGTGGCGATGTGCCAAACCAGGATGCTCTCATCCAGCTCAGAGTCCACACTCCAGGCCAGCTCCTCATGCAACCCCCTCTTCTTCAGCGCCGCCCGGCCCCTTGAGTTTTGGATGTGGTCTCGATTCTCTTTGTCGACGCCCACACTTGCCCGCAGTTGTTCCTTCAGCAGCTCGCTGAAATCTAGCGAGACGGGGACAGACAAGGACGTGTAAACCAGTGTGTTCCACCAGTCCTCTCTTCCTATCCATCTCGCGATTTTGCTGCCTCGGCTGTCCTTACAGTGGCTGCACATGTAAATAAAGTTGTGTTGCCCCATGGAGCCTGACCAGTACCTCTTAAGTATTCCTACTTTCTGTATTGCCCGTCTGACGAGCTCCCCAGATTGAAATACAAGTTCAAGAAGATATAACAATGGACGACTAATAGGAGGCATACAACAAGGAAGAATGCGGATGCGGGTGAAACACAGGTACCTCCAGGTGGAGGACATGGCCCTCAGCACTGATGTGATCTCCAGGACGACGGCTCCAGAGAGCAAAACATAAGTGACAACGAGATCTACTTTGCTGAAACCATCTTTGTCACCTACTCGACGGAACAGCAGCAATGCGGTGACAGTGGCCGGCAGCAAGGCAACACGGATGCAATACCCGTACCAATTGTGGATCAACTCATTCTTCCTGTAGAAGATGCCGTGCATCAGCGAGAGTTGGATCTCAGCAACATGGTACATGTCCTCCCAGCTAAAACAACCTAGTTTCGAGTCAAATGCCAAAAGAGGTAACGGCCCCTTAAGTAGATGCTTGGGTACGTTCAACAAGTCATGAGCTAGAAATTGTCCATCCCTCAAAGTTCTGGTATAAGTGAGGTATTCAAAAATGCAACCTGCCAAAACTGTTGTAGTTCTTCCCAGACAGGGCACTACTGCTGGCAGACATGAGTGCCCATACTCTCTCCCCGTACTTGACAACACCAACCACGAACATGAGGATGGTGGCCTGGCCGAGCATGGTCCGGCGGCCGCCTACGAAGATGGATGACTCGTAGAGGACATAGGCGGCCGCGAGGACCTGCACAACGAAACTCTGCAGGTGGCGCAGCCACAGATGGTTGTCCTCGATGGAGTAGGCGGTGATGTTGTCCTGGCCACCAAGGTGCAATAGCAGGAACGGAGCCCAGAACGCCACTAACTGGTGCTCCGGCGACCTGCTGGTCACCGACATATGGCCCAGAGTGTATATGGCCGTTGTGTCAGCCAGTAGATATGCCGACCACACGACGACCCTTAGCACGCCGGAGTCTTTCCGACGGCGGATCTCCGCCGTGATGAGGAGAGTTACCTGGAGTGCTAAACTCAGCAGCACCAGCACTTGGATCCCCCACTCTCTCCAGAGCGCCACTAGCTGATCTAGTCCTCCTGCCATATCGTTTTCACCGCTGGAAATGGACATGCAACGACGACGACTTTTGAGTACACTTCCAGAGCTTTGTCACAATTAAACAAAGCTAATAAGAATGCGACGATATAACTTGTATTTACCTGCCGTGGTTAGCTGGTGGCTTGATCTTCGATCAGTGAGACGATCTGCCAGCTCGGCTGTAGGGTGTAGCTAGCAGAAGACAAACAAAATTGGTCGATCGAGTAGGGATCAACAAATGAGATCTACTGCTGACCGGCTGCTGGAACCTGACCATATGATGCGACATAACATGGTGTAGTGTATATAAGCACATATGCTCAATCATCCACGTGAAAAAAGAAGAAAATGAAAAAAAAGGGAAAGGGAAAAAGAAAAAGAAAAAGGAAAAGGAAAAGGAAAAGAGAAAAAGAAAAATGCCCTCTTCTTCTTTGTTGCATAATAAAGTAGATATACCTCATGACTGTCTTTTCTAGCATAAATATGCAACGGTTTTCATTACCCCGGCCTTTATCTATTTTTTTTCTTTGCATGATTAGGCAACATTCAGAAGCAGATCCAGTGAAAGGTAAACAAGTACTTGATATCTCTGGGTACAAACCTCCTGTCGCACATCAAATAAGGCCTAAGATGTATTGGGATTGGGAAGCTCCTGACAGAGAATATGCAAAACTGAACATTGATGGGGTGTTTGTCAAGGCGGATGGTACGGCAGGTGCCGGGATGATACTGAGGGTGCAGTCATCTTTGTTGCGACGCGGTCGCTGTTCAATTGTGGTGATGCCCTCGAAGCTGAGATGACTGCGATGAAGGAAGGACTACAGTTGGCCCTTCACTGGACGAACCGATCACTGCTCGTGGAGACGGACTGTGCAGAATTGTTGCAAATGATCAGTGCGCGAGGCGTGGTATTGACTTGGTATTATAGATGTTCCTAAGATTGTTCTGGAAATTTGGTCAAAATTTATGAAGTTTTGACTTGAAAAATCTTATACGCATTGTACCTTGAGACCAAAGGAGTATACAGGTTATGAGGATCATTTGGTGAAGACCTTCATCCTTTGTCGATGAGCATCTTCAGATGGAACTCATAAGCGCATGAGTCATATAAATTGGTCGACTTATTATCAGAAGAATCGATCTCCTTTTATAATATGGATTCACACAAGTATTGCAATAGATCCATTTACAACCTAATGACAATCTCGACTCGCATCACAAGAAGTCTTCCATCCTTCATCACAAGTCGTGGCTGAATTTCCGCTGCTCCAGAGGAAGGGGAAGAAATTTGACACCATTGGTACTCTTGCAACAACCAATTAATGAGGTCCACGGTTGGTCGAGGAGTCTCACCAAGCGTCCGCTTGTAGAGATGGACATGAACAACTTATCCGCAACCCCCTGGCCCAGCCTCAACCCGAAACAAGTATGAGAGGCCTTTCTGGTGTGTTAGATAACCCAGATCACAGAAGACGCCATCAAAAGATTGAGAAAGCAGAATGCTTCCTATAGGATCTACTACATTATTATGCCTTTTGATGGTGTTTTCTGATGTTGAGGAGCTAGCGGCCATCAAGTAGTTGAGACCTTTATTGTCAACAACTATGGTACCCGTTTTAAAAATGCAGATGATGGGTTCAATGCTGTTCATGAAAATATGTATGTTGCAAAGATATCTGGTCAGAATCAAATATATGACAAGGTTGCCAAGACATTGTGATTATCCTTGACCAAAACAAAAGGTATAGCTCTTTAGATTTTGCCATTTTGGGAAAGCTGTTGCAAATGTGCGAAGTAAGGTGCTAGAACTGTCTACGTCAAGTTTTCTGATCTTTTCGTAATTAGGAAGTTGTTATCTGATATAGTAAGGTTGAGATAATTAGATGCATGAAGAAACTATAGAACAAATTTCGGTGCATAGCGAAGTGACCATCTCGAAGGAAAACTGCTGGTCGAAGCACCAGACTGTATCCAGTTTTTTTTTCCTTTTTGTAAGAGTAGCTCCTGAAGTTCAGAGACTCCTGAAATGTTGATATCATGTTATCCAATTGAGAACTGGAGGTCAGGTTAATGGTGCCGGATGAAAACAGAATTTGGAGAACAACCCCAGTTAGTTTACATCTCTTGATCGTTGACCATTGAATATAGTCACTGCTGCATCCTCTGTAGTTTGTGGAGGATTTTCTTGTGGTTCTTTCTTCCTTTTCGTGTTTCGTTGTGATTCTATCTCCTGTAGGTTTCAACACACCTGAGTTGTTTCTAGAATCCTACTACCTTCTAAACGAGTATACTGTGGGTACAGAGAACGTCCATGGCTGTGAACCTATGCTGATTAAAGTACGTTACCGGACACTGATTCCTTGAGCACACGTACGTACGTCGTTCAAGAACCTCGGCATCATGCCCGGCGTTGATGATTTTATCTGGCAATGCATACCTGTGGACACAAAGAACACACTGACCGCTTGTCATGGAAATTTGGAGAGCTGACTTTGTGCTCGGTTGCTGCAAGACCACAACACATCTGTCAGCTTTAAAAAAAAAGAATTTCAACATAAGATTTGTGGCAGACGTTATCGTGTCGAGTTTGAATCTCCAAATTTAAGAAAAAAAATCTGTTCGTTATTTATTTATTTTTTCACGTGCAAGGCTGGGCTCCGTAGATTTTATTGAGAGAGAGAAAAAAAATACAGAGGTTACCAAATTATAAAGGAAACTGACCAAAAAACATTCAACAATAAGGAAAAAAAGAAAGAGAAAAAAACTGCAGATGCCAACCAGCCTGACAAACTGCTCATGCGATAGTTGTTCGTGCATCTCCACTAGCCAGTTTTTTGCATCTGGATTCACGTTCATACTTAACTGCTGTACCACCTCATCTTCTGAGAGCGCCCAAATGCATCTTGACATAGTACACTCTAGGAGAGCATGCCTCCATGAATCCTCCCTTCCGCACAATGAACACAAATGAGAATCTGACATGTGCCGATGGTGTAAGAGATCCGCCGTCGGCATGGAGTGCCTCGCCAGCCGCCAAAGAAAGACCCTGAGTTTTGAAGGTACCCTGATATTCCATAGCATCGCCCAATCCCCGCCATTTGAATTCAGTGTCGAGCCCCCAGGATTGTGTTCTAGCCAGTTTCCTCTGTCCTCTTTTTTGGACATGATCATCCTGTATGCTGATCTCACTGAAAATCTGCCGTTCCTCTCGGCTGACCAGGCCCAAAAATCTTCCACAGCCCTAATGCATATAGGTATGGACAAAATGGCTTCAGCATCAAAAGGTACAAAGGTAGTACGAATTAGCTCCTCCTTCCATGATGATGTGGTCGTGTCTATAAGAGCAGACACTAAGTGTGGCGGGTTGGGAATGAGAGAAGTTATCGGTCTCAAGGGTCCCGGCCGCTGTAGCCAGTTGTCTCTCCAAATATCTGTTGTATGCCCATTGCCAATCCGCCTAACAATGCCTTGCCGCAATACATCTCGCCCATCCAGAACAGCCCTCCATATTTGTGATGGGTGACTGCCTAGTTCTGCTTCGAGGAAGTCTATATTTGGGAAGTATACCGCTTTTAAGATTCTTGCACTGAGAGAGTTCGGTTCATTCAGCAACCTCCAAGCTTGGTGAGCCAACAAAGCAAGATTAAAAATCTCCATGTCCCTAAAGCCCATACCACCAAGATATTTAGGTTTTGTCATAACATCCCAAGATACCCAAGCTGGCTTCCTCTTCCCTTGTTTACCCCCCCCCCCCACCAGAACTGACGGATTATGGAAGTGATGTTTTCACATAGTCCTCTTGGTAATCGAAAACACGCCATTGAGTAAACCGGAATGGCTTGCGCCACTGATTTGATTAGCACTTCCTTTCCTCCCACTGACAGGAGTTTTTCCATCCATCCTCTCACCTTGTCCCAAATTCTGTCCCTCAAGTATTTGAAGGTACCCATTTTAGATTGACCAACATCCGTGGGCATCCCCAAGTACCTTTCACTCAAAGACTCGTTTGTCACATTCAAAATCTGTTTGATCTCATCTCTCACCGTTTGTGGGCACCTTTTACTGAAAAATATTGAAGATTTTTCATTGTTTATCCTCTAGCCTGAAGCATTACAATATGTCTCCAATAATTCCGAAACCCTAGCAGCCCCTCCCGCACTTGACTTGAAAAGCAACAGGCTATCGTCCGCAAAAAGGAGGTGGTTAACAGCCGGAGCTGTCGGAGCCACCTTGATCCCTTCCAAACTAGACGACTGAGAACTGGATCTTAAAAGGCACGAAGGGCCCTCTGCTGCAATCAAGAAAAGGTAAGGGGAGATTGGGTCCCCCTGTCGGATGCCTCTGGTGGGATTAAACTGTTCTAACTTTTCACCGTTAAAAAACAGAAAAGGATACAGATTGTACCATGTCCATCATAGCTCGAAGGTATGGCCACTCCAGTCTATCATAGGCTTTCATCATGTCTAACTTCAATGCACAGAAACTGTTGGATTTAGCTTTGCTTCTTTTCATAAAGTGCAGGCACTCGTACGCACAGATAATATTATCTGTGATCAATCTTTCTGGGACAAACGCTGATTGTTCCTGAGATATGATGTCTGTGAGGATAACTTTGAGCCTGTTTGCAACTACTTTGGAAGCAATTTTATATATTACTACCCAGAGCTAGACTGTCACACCACGCCAACGGCCTGAGCCCATTGGATCCGAGCGCGAGGCCCATGATCCACCACCCTACAGCACAATCACACCTTCACCGTGAAGAGAAGGGAGCGAGAGGGGAGAATGGGCTGGGGTGCGCCTCGATTCACAGCCGGATGACCCTAATGACCCTAGCAAGCTCGTTGGGCCGCCACAGAATATAAGAGCCAACCCATAAATGACGAGCTCACAAGCAAGTCAGCGGTGGGAAAGGACACTGTATAATGGCTGACATGAGTGTGTGGAGGCAAAGAAGTGTAGTACGAAATGAGAACGTATAACTGCTCGCATGTGTGCATGGAGGC